CCTCACCTGCCCTCGGATGAAACCACCCGACATCCGGGCCTGCCCAAGGTAGAAGACTGTCCGACAAGACGGTCTAACGGACTTCTGTCCTTCGGGTACGGAGTCTGACAAGAGACATGACCAGAACGAGCATTTAATGTAAGCAGGGCGACCTTGAACGCCCGACAAGCTATTAAATGCACACAACACCATCAGAACTAGTATAAATACCCAATGATAGGGCTCATTTATGGTAACTTCAACCAACTCCATTCTCTCTCTTATTTACTCACACTTCACTTCTCTCTCTAACTTAAGCATCGGAGGAGGTCCCAGGAACCCCTTGAGGACCTTTCTGCAGGGTTTCGGAGACCGCCCTCGACCATCGAAGCCGCCCAAGGCCAGTGGAGTCTCACAAACCGCTTGGTACATTCCAAGCACAAACAATAACCTATCATTCAATCACTAAAAATCATTTCCTAAAAACTCAAATTATCATCTTAACCACGACCAATAGGGCGTGTTAAGATCATGTCTTTAAAAGATCTATTCAACTTGAACGAACTACGTGGACTTTGATCCCGACTAATCGGGTACGTAGGCAACCAATAGGTTTCAAGTCCAACCAACATATTTTCTCAACAATTTAACGTGTAAGCGTTAACATTTCAAATCACTCATTTTAATCAAACTACGTGGACTTTGATGCCGATTACTCGGTTACGTAGGCAACCAATAGGTTCGAGTCCAACAAACCAAAAACTCTTTCTTTAATTTTGAGAATTATGGCAATAGCCGTATGATCACATTGTATATTAATCAATACCTAATTAATTGAATCTCATAATTAAATACATGAATAAAGCCAAATAATATTAATACACTCGATTCCTTCAAAAACTTATCAATTTAAGTAGTACCAATTTTGGGCGTTGTGGGGTGTGAATACACTTACCCACACATAATCGTACTCGCGAACCCAAAAATCTAAATTTTGTAGACCAGAATTCGGTTTTGACCTTAAGTTCGGGACCGAACCAAATGAGTGCTCGATCCACTCCAAGTAAGATCGATGGCGAATCCGAGCATATCGTGACGGATCCCCCCGATTTCGAGGCCCGGTTGCGACATTTATCACCAACCAAAAAGCCTTTTCCCCATGTCTAAGGTCCTAGCCAGTCATGTGAACCCATGTATAAGACCTCCAAACAAGCTAATGATGACATCGATCTTGTAATTTCTAACAATTAGAGGTTACCATCCTAGTGAAGAGACGATAGGGCTGAGCGTTTGAGTATGCTCATCTTTTGCATCAAAATGGTCCTGAACCCACTGGTCGAGAGTGAGTGATGCATTCCTTATGCTTTGTTCTTATCATGTATCCCAGCGAGGACCTAGTTTTCTCGATCTTCGTTCCTGTATAGGTTTTGGGTTAATATTGATGCATGTGACAAATACATGTTTGATTGATGAATTTATCAAAGTATTGGATGGTTGTTCGTGAATTATTGTGTTTGGTTTCCTTTTCATAGCAATTGAGCTTTGGACCTAGGAGGCAGATAATCCCCTTAAAGCCCACAATTAGCGTCTTCATATCACTCCTATCGCTTATTGTCCGGGTAATCCCCCGAGGGAGTTGATTCAATCGGTCTCCTAGAAATATATGAAACCCTAGGTTGAATAAAGAACCTATCCATCCATCACTTTTTCATTTCAGGTCAATCCCGAGTGAGTATATCTCTTAACAAGAGGATGGTGAGTCAATCGAGCTAGGATAGTACTCAACATTGTTCCAATTGATTGAACTAGAGGGATTCAAACCTAAAGAGCTCCACCACCTTATAATTAGCTAGGTTAGTTGGTTTACTCTTCTTAATCACTATCCTAGGTTGGATAGATGATGAACCCTTAACCTGAAGTAAGGTAAGCTTAGATCCCCGTGGTACGATAAATTTTGTTGCTTGCTCACCCTACACTACACTAGGTCTTCAGTTATGCTTGATCGTCGATTGGGATGTGTAGTTAGCAACCAGTCAGTTGAATAAAGATTATTTCGAGAACAAGAGGACTCTTACCATCAAAGTCTTATCGAACAAAAGCCCTTTTTATGGGAGATCAAGAACTTCCACGACGGAACCACACAGACATCTCCTAAATCAATTGCACCCAACTCTCTTGTATTGAGTAGATCTTCACGAGGAACACAGTTGCCCGTAAGCATAAAAGGAGACATTTCAAGATGACCTGAATCTTAATGATAAATGATGTGTCGTAAACTCAAAACACTTATAGGAATGAGCGAAACTTAAATAAGGAGTCAGAGCGAGGGCTTGCAGATATTCTCATGGCTTGGCTTCCGAAGAAAAAAAAGGTGAATAGCATATCTTCATGGGCAAAAATGGCACACAATGGAAGATGAAAAAGTCCAAGTACCCAATAATCAAATTAATCAGCTTTTCACTCATATGTTGATGAAGAAATCTAGGGGAGTTTGAGAACATTTAAATCTCATAAAGTCAATTGATTATCCTTCAATTCCTCAACTACTTAGTCAAAATAAGGAGGTCCTAATATATGATAACACCCAAATTGGTGTAATTAGAGCTTATATTTAGATTCATTTTGAGCTAATTCATAATTTTGAAGGTCTATATATTGTCAAATATACCCTGCATTCATTCCCTGGAGAAAATATTAGCATTTTAGGGTGTATATTATATGATATATGAGAGTTTTAGGTACCAAAAGAGGGCACAAGTATAGAGAAATGTGCAAAAACAGAGGATCACGACTAGGGCATGCTTGATCACGGTCGGGAACTGAGAACGTGAATATGGGAACTGAGATCGCGGCCTTAAGAGTCAAGATCATGGCCACGAAGCCGGAGGCCTCAGGTGCGAACTCTTGGAGCAGATAACAAGGAAGAAACATAAAGTTTTGATAGTTGACTCACAACTTTCTTTATCCAATCCCGTGAGAAAGATCGCGGCGCGACTTCATGAATCTGAAGAAAATAGAGATGAGGAAGAGCTTCCTTCCTTTTTGGCTCCTCTTTCTCCTTCCTTCAGCTTCTATCTCTGACTTCTCTCCCAAAATCAGAATTTCACTTATTGTTTTCAGCTCCTATGTAAAGGGAGAAGAGTCCCCCATTTATAGTGTTCTGGCAATCGCCAAGTTCACGCCTGAATGAGGGAAGTTTGTAGGCGCAATCTTTGGGGGCGAGGCTGTGATCTCGGATGTAGCATCTTCACGCCTTGGTGGATGGGAAGTTTGTGGCTTGACTTCAAGGTCGAGATCCGTGAGTCGTGACTGCAATCTTTCTCTCAGGCTTGGACAATGAGAGCCGCAAATCGATGGTCAAAACTCTTTGGTCCTTCTTTAGTGGCTACTTCAGAAGTTCGTGCTTGAGACTCCCAACTTCGCGGACGCGATCTCAACACTGGAGGCTGCAATCTTCATACTCAGTTTCGTGCCTTTGCTTCCCGGGCATGATCTCTTTGCTCTGTCGTGATCACTCATTTTTGCTCCTTTTACTACACTTGTGACCTCTTTTCGTACCTAAAGCGTATGTATTATCTAATCCACCCTAATTAACATGACATAATATTCTTAGAGGAATGAATTATAGATGCATTTAATGAATTATCAATCAATGATACCATGAAATGACTTAAACGACCCTATATATTAAAGCTTAATAATACCATTTTGGGTGTTATCGTTAACCTCAAAGACTAGAGTTTTAAAAGGAGAGAAAGCGTATCTATAGAGACTATTTATCGGGCTCTTTTCTTCCCTGCTGTATTTTGAGAACTCTTTGATTTTTCACTAAGTATACATACTTGTTCCAACAATAAGACATGCGTGGTTGGGATTTTTTGAAGAAATGGCAACAAAATAATACGCAAACTGATCTGCTCGTCTAACCCGACCCATCCCACATGTATTTATCGACAAAATTAATGTTTAAGGTTGGGTGACAGTTTTCTTTTGTATAACTTGTCTCTATTGGGTTGGGTGCGGATTTTGGGTAAGGGAACCCGTAGAACCCGGCCCAACGTGTGTTGAACTTTTGTCATTAGTGTTCGTATCCAAAACATACTTGTGTCGTAAATAAGCATATTTGTGAGAACATTAAGATATCTTGTCATATTTTTCTCGTGTGGTTTCCCTAGTCTAAAGTTATGATTCACGTAATCTTTTTTCTTGTGTACAATTTTAGAAGAACAATATATTATGAATGTGTTAGCTTATAACCACTTTAGCTTATTTTGACAAATATTTATGAAAAAACTAGACATATGTTGAAGTAAATTGTATTTCATTAAAATCCAAACAACAATTATGCTACTTTTTGCCTCAATTTATTTGCTTAAAATTCTAATTAGTTATATAATATTGTTGTAATATAGAATAGTTGGATTTTTTTTGTGTTGGGTTCTTAAGTAAAAGTATCTCCAATCTGACCCAACCCAATTATAAACATATCGTAGGGTTTTAATTTTATTGGATGGGTATGAATTTAATATTTTCAAAACTGTAGTATATGGATAGAGTGATTAAAATAACCAAACTCGAACCATTCGATCCATGTACACCGATTTACCCATAAAAAGATGTACTTGAATGATAAATCTTAAGAATGTTGTGATAAACTCTCATAAAAGCACAAAGGAGTTATGCTACACCGACTTAATCTTTAACATACGGAACATTTATGATGAGCAAATAAACCAACATACAACTGATTTGTGATTGTGCGATTTCACAAATAGTGATCTCGTCGCATGATGGTAAAAACAAAAAGAAAGATCTAAATTTAGTATTTAAATCAAGTACTATGTAGCAAAAAAAAATTATTAGTACAACCAGTAGCCACCACTAGCCAGTACCCCCTAAATTCCCAAAATTAAAGTGTAACCCAAATCCTGAAAAAGGATTAAAAAAAAAGAGGTTAATTACCGCGGGCCGGTTGGTGGGAAAATTTGGATTGAAGGGTTTAAGCAAAGAGGAAGCAATTATTAAGCTTGTATCTCGAACCTAGTAGGGCACTTAATTGAGCCCATCGAAAGGTCTATCTCGATCAAGTTGTCCTCTTCGATCATCAAGCTCTGCTTGCAGAACGAGCTTGCAATCGCGAATTGACGGTGGTGGTCTTTGCAGCTTGATCGGATGACGAATTCCCCGCCGGGAAGCGCAATCTCGATCAAGCTCTCCTCGTCGGAGATGTATCCTCCGTCCAAGAAATCCGGGGTCTGGAACATGTTCCCCTGAAACGGCCAGTAGTCCACCTCCGATTCCTCGCTCGTCGACGACAGCCTCCCTTTGCACTCGCCATCGGTCAGCTCTCTCCTCCTTGCTTCTTCCTCTTCCTCTTCCTCTTCCTCTTCCTGTTGCTTTGATTTTTCCTGCTGAATAGCTTCGGATTCTAGGGTTTCCTGAACTAGGGCTTTCACTAGAATCGGGGTATGTTGTGGTGTGCCAAGTTTCAATCTGGGGAAAAGCAGGAGTGCTAGTGCAACGAGGAAGATGTGAGCTGAGAATCCATAGCCAAGGATGGTGGATAGGATCAGGGGAAGTGGAGAGAAGAAAGAGATTGTGCAAATGTGGGTTCTGCAGGAACTCATCTTCTCTTAAATTTTTTTCTAGGGCTGATCAAACTTGAAACGAAGAGGAGTAAGTTATGGCGTAATCTAAGCTACAGTGGTGGTGGGTGAGGATGGATAGAGATGGAAGACAAGATATTGAGATGTAGAGGTACTATAATGGGGAAGATGAGATCAGTAAGAATGCACAAGTACCGTCTCCTTAGTTCCCCCTTTTGGGGCAGACCCAGAGGAAAAGAAGGCAAGATAGATGTAGTAGCCTTAACTAGTTGGAGAAGAAGAAGAAGGAGAAGGAAATTGGAGGGGGTTTGATGAGCGGTGGTTTCTTTATGAGATTTTGGCTTTTGGATGAAGCTTGGGAAGTGTGAGTCTGTGAAATGGTGAGCAAAGTGATCATAACCCCAGATTAATCAATATGAGATTAGCTGAGATGTCCTACAATTCCTTGTTGCTTGTTGTTTATGCATGGGATTGGACATATAAAAAAAAAAAGGAAACGTGGAAGGGGGATTTTCCTAGGAAATCCAAAACAGCTGGTATCTCTCTCTGCATTGGGTGACAGTAGAAAGTAGTGGGGTTTAAGGGGTGCATGGATATTTGGGAAGAAGCCATGTGCTGACATCTGAATTCACCACATGGCAACTGTTCCTTCTTGAATCAAACCAAAACTGGGATACAATGAGAAAAAAAGTGAAAAACAATGAAGAAGACTCCAACTCCAAGCTTTTTTGTATATTATAAAGGGAAACACAGAAAGAGCAGGAGTAGAAAGGGTAAGGGAAAGTAGTTACACTGCCACAGGGAGTTCAGAGTTCAGACTCCAACAATGAATTGTGTATAGTTGGCTGGCTAATAGGGGATTTGTTTAGGCTAATGAGATTGCAGTTCTACATCTAATCTCCTTTTTTTTTTGTTTTTTGTTTTGCAAGCCTAGTCCGGGAGAGAAAAAAAGCCAAGAAAGGGTCCTGAATCCTGATAGATAGAATGTGTAGTGGGTATCAGAATCCATGATCATCCGCATTTTATGCTAACAAAACCATATGATCATTGCTACTCTTATTATGCAGCTGAAAGCATTATGTATATAATTATCTTTGGAATGAAACTTCACTTGAGCAGCCTTGGAACACTAAAGGCTAAACCGCTTCCGGAAGAAGTGACGTACTGTTGTATACAATTTAAGTCAGTGGAGTAGCAGCACCTCATCCTTTTACGACGTCTTTGGTTTCTTCTTCTCTGTGCCCATGGCGCAACCAGTACCAGTTGTAGGGAGTCTATTTGTAACTAGTGGTGTTAGTTTTCCCATCCAAAAGAAGAACAAGGTAGGGATATATTTCATTGTAGTAATGTAATTTATTTGGATATCCAATAATTCCAAGCTAGTTTGGGGATTCCATCAGTAGTAAAGAAACGGAACCATGAACTCTGTTTGTGCGATGAGTTTTCAATTATCAATAGGTGTAACTTTTCATGGCTATGGCTAGCCTTTAGGGAGGTGATTAATTAATTACTTAGTTATAGGGCTGGAAATTCGGTCCCGGTTTTTTGGTCAAATCGGAAACCGCCTAGTTTAAACCGGCCCAGTTATAACCAAAAACCGGATACCATTTAACCCAATCCAGTCTGCGGTTAGAGCCTAGGGGCAAAACACCGCCCCGGTCCCGATCCAATTTGGTCCAGTTTTAACCGAAAACCGGATAATTGCCCGTATAGCCCATAGTCCACAGCCCACCCCCAAAGCCCACAGCCTGCAAAACCCTAAAAATCGATCACCTCCAAGGCTCCAACACTCCGTCCTGCGCCGCTTACTCTTCTTCCTATTCCCTTTCTCCAACATTCTTCCTCGTTTCCCTCTTCTCTCCCTTCGGCTGACTCACCCTCTGGCGACGAACGGTCAGTCGAGCTCAGCCCTCGTTCTCTCTACTCTCCCTTATTCCGCCTCACCCTCTGCCTGACGGAAGCTCAGACGAGCCCAGCCCTCGTTCTCTCTACACTCCGGCTACTTCACCCTCTGGCCAATGAACGCTCAGTCGGAGGAGGGAACATATCAGCCAAGCCTCGATTCGCGTCTCTCCCGACATGCAAGGACCTAGATACTCCTGTCATGGCACCATCCAGCGGATCTACGGCGATTCCCCAGTCAGCAAGTTCCTCACCGAGATCTGAACTTTACTGCCGAATCGACGCTGAGGAAGTCGGCGGCGGAGGCAATGATTTTGGGATTCTCTAGAATCCAATCTCCTATTCGAAAGGAGAGGCCAAGGCGCACCCATCCTCTTCCTCCGACTCTTCTTTGCCGTGTCGTCATATGGAACTCCGCCAACAATGCTTTGCCAGCATCGATGAGAAAGCAGAGAAGAATAGGTTGGGTTAATTTTGTTCACGAAGAGGCGGAGGGAGAAGAATAATCGCTAAGGGAAGAATTAGGGATTGTGTTTCAATAAAAAAAATTTAGAGATTGTTCATTTGTGGATTGTGTCTAGGGATGGCAATGGGTAGGGTCGGGTGCGGGTTTACCCTATACCAACTCCTAACCCGCCGGGTAGAGCCTTCTAAAATACCCAACCAAATAACCACCGGGTATGAAAATTATATAACCATACCCTACCCACCGGGTAACCACGGGTATTCGGGTAACCATGGGTACGAATCCTAAACTATGAACTTATACACATATATGCACATACATATTGTTGTCCATTAAAAATTCTCAATACTTCTAATTGTTCTAACTTCAACAATCCACACAAATAAAAACAACAAAAACATAATAATTGTTATTGCTTCTACAATCCACACAAACATAATAATCGTCTACATCTTCATCATCAATAATGGTAGTTAAACTAAATTTTTCAAGCTAAACTAAATTTCTCAAGGGAAATTGACCCTTTGGTTAGTGGGGCGGGTATAATGGGGCGGGTATTATCGATTACCATACTCGTACCCTACCCTTTATTTTGAAACCGGGTATTACCCGTACCTGACCCTTAATCCGTCAAAGCGGGTAATTACCCTCGTTGACCGGTTACGGTCGGGTAGGGTACCCATAGTTACGGGTTGGATTGACATCCCTAATTGTGCCTGTAGGAGGTGGGGTTTGGGAGATAGTTTTTTTTATAATTTCATTCAAACGGTAGCGTTTTTGGGAGGATCCAATTTTACCCAGTTTTTGGTTGAAACCGGACCGGATTGGATCCCATCTAGTCCGGTCACGATTGAAACCAGGTACCCATCCAATCCTGTCTTCGGTTGTGCTATATGCCAAAACGGTTTCAAAAAACCGGGTTAATCCGGTCCGGTTAAAATCGGACCGGACTGTTTTTCACCCTACTTAGTTGGGTTGTGCGTCTAATGATGCGTTAAGGGCTGTTGTTAATAGGGATGACAATGGGTCGGGTTGGATCGGGTTTTGCCAAACCCAAACCAAAACCCATGGGTATATTCGTAAAAAAAAGGGGTAAAATTCACTAGGTTTGAAAAACTCAAATAGTGAGTATAAAGTTTTTTAGGTTTTCCTTCTCCAACAAAAGTGAGTAATCCAAGGAATATGTTCTTTTGAGAGAAAAGTCTATCTAATACATTAGGGTCGGAGCTAGGTGGGCCTTCGCCCCCCCCCCCCCCCCCCCTCCCCTCTCTCCCTCCCCAAGAATTTTGAAATCACGAACAAATTTTATCCAACTTAGTAAAATTACGTATAAAATGAAGGTTATTTAATAAATACTTGTCGCGTGCAATTATAGGACAAGGATTTGAAGATAGTCTAGCGGAAATCACATTGCATGTATCTATAATTGACCTGGATTCAAGCTTTGCAAAAATTTACCTTTTTAAACTTGTTATAGCTTAACGTGATGTAACCAAAGGCAAATAACTTTCATAGTTTGTATTTACATGTCAAGTGCTTCGAAAGTAGATGTAACTTCTCCAACTTTTAAAATTCTTAGTTTTAAAGATTCTCTTAGTTATATATTAATCATTGCATTTAACCATATAACTTTCATAATTTGTGTTTATAAGTCATGTGACTTCAAAATAAATCAAGTAACCTTCTTCTAAATTCTTTTTTCTAATAAATCTTTTATTTATATATTAATTACTTCATTTTTTTCAACAATAATACTGGTGAACATTCATTTCCCAGTGATAAACATACAGAGAAACATACTAGACAATAAGATGCATGATTAATTTTTGCTGATAGTTTTGTTTTGTTATACGCTAAAATATCCCCCCCCCCCCCCGGAGCTCCCTCTCCGATCGTCAAATCCTGGCTCCGTCCCTGTAATACATCTTTATCAGATGTTCACCTATCAATGTGGCGGTTTCTCTTGAGACTTCTCATATATCTTTTAAAGCTATTGATTTCCAACAATTCCCTACTTGACTAGTTTTGAAATTATCTATGAGCATCAATAGTCGTATAAGATTGTCATAAACTGAGGTATCTTTCAATTTGAACCTTATTGTAGTGGTTATACTTCTAATTCAACAAGAGTGACTCGTAGTCTTGAACTCTATCTCATATAGGTAGCATGTAAGATCTTTTCATTGAGTGTTATTCTCTAACAACCCGTGCGTTTATGGCCCTGCATCTGCATGTTATCTCAGTTTTAGTGGATATGCTATAGAAAAACAAATAGGCCTCATGGTTTTTATACTCATTATGTTGTGGAATGAAAATAATGCAATCGACTTCCATTTAAATAAAGAAATAATGGGGGTAGTGTATCCTACTTGCTATTAGAAATAATGGAACTAGTGAGGGTGATGAGCTTTAGTTTGAACTCAAGAAGTAAATGAACCATAAATCGCTAAAAGATTTTGGTTACAATTTTGCTATCCACACCCTAGAAATGACCCTACTACAAGAAGTTTGAACTTCCATAAAATGCAGATTTGTGGGAACAACCCCTTATTAACGAAATGGAATCATTGGAGTCTAATAAGACTTAAAATCTTGTAGAGTTACCTCTTGACTGTAAAGTCTTAGGTAATATGATATAACCCTAATTCGAGAA